GGCACAGGCTGTCGCAGACGTATAAAGCCGCCGAGAAGTTTGATAACGAGCCGGATTCGGCAACACAAAGTCGGCGTCTACTTTACGGTTCACGGCTTCCACAATTACGCCGGGGGCGGGGAAGCGACTTCTTGATGTCGAAACTCTTTCGAGAATTCGAGCCCCGCTCGTAAACTTCCGGCTTTTTTATTTTTATTTTTACGACGCTACTTCCGGTCTTACCGGTTTCTCGAAGGCGGCTCCAGCGTTCCCCATCCGCTTTGTGTGTACCGCCACCGTTTTCAGTTTCTGTGGCGTTCTTTGATTATTTGGTGGCTTCACTTACTCATTGAGTAGGTATACAACGTACCGCGCTCTCGTCCTAATTAAAAGATTACGGAAGCGACCCGGGGGGGGGGGGGGGGGGGGGGCTACTTTTACTGCGTTCATTGACGTCATCCCGATTGGTTCCTGGCGGTCCTTATCCGCGGAAATGCTGCGTTCTCATTGGGTGCCTATATAGTTATTCTGGGATGCAGCGAATCTGACCCGTGCACCGTTATTTTGAAACTTCGTGCCACAGGCCGAGTCGCGCTAAAAACGCCCAGGAAAGCGCTATAGACCGCTGCCTTGGGTTTAACCAAGGCAGCGCGGTGGTCACATTTCTAATACATCATCCAGAAATCGGTCTGCAGACACTGTCTGATGTGTGTCATTTCCTTGTATCCAGTGTCGTTGGTAATATATAAACTCTCCGCAGATATGTTCCAAACATACATATATGTGCGAAGCAAACACGCTCTGAACATCGACTCTGCGGAGAAACTCCGCGTCTTTTGTATGTACGTCGCGCGAGCGATGTGGGGCTGCTGTTCGTGGGACTCGGATCCTCGCGTGGTGGTTTCTGGGGTCGGTTTTCTTCGCGGCCATACCGACAACCCGTCATGCACCACCGCGTGTTTCTTGGTGGCGAATTTTTTTGCACTGTCATGTCGGAGGGAGGAATGCTTTTGCGTATGCTGTCGATCTTCATTGACAAAAATTCAACTTCGAGCCCCGAAAGGGGGAAATATAAAAGGAAGAAAAAGTTTTATTGAGAAAGCGAAAGGGGAGTTTACTTCAATCACCTTAAATGCGCCGTCTTTTTTTTTTTTTTTTTCTGAATTGGTGATTACGGCGTAAATTTAGCTTTAGAAGGGTCCGATAAAAGTCGTCGTGAACTCTGGACACTCTCCCTGCTGGGGCACAGAATGCGGATTGGCGCGTTTAAAATGACGAGAAGTCGAGCGGCTCGTGAACCCGGCCATGGGCCGAAAGTTTGCCGTCCTTCGCAGTAATGTAGTCGTAAAGCCTGGCACCTCGCCGCTAGAGCGATATATATATTGTCTGCCCGCCGTAAACGAGGGTCGGTCGGAAGAGTGAACTGCAGACCAGAATCGCGGATCTTTGCGCCAGATCCACGGCTGCGGCCATTCTCCGCGGCACTTTTCCCCGACGCGAAAATGCGTTTCGAATGGGGTTCGGAGAGTGACCGCTATGGTGGCATGGCGCTAATATCGGAGGTTTCCGCCTTTCCGCCTGCTTTCCTGCTCGCCACGCGAAAACGCAGCGCACACGCACTTGCGACCAATCTCCGCAGGAGGCGTCCGCCATTAAATTGCAAATGCCTCCGCATGGTTTGAGATTCACTCTCCGTCCAGTTTAGACATTCTAGTTTTCGTCTACCGTTCGCTCCTCCCCTGTCTTTTACGGTGGTGACGTCTTTATAGGAAGAGCGGAGGAAGTTCTGCAGGTTTTCACGACGCATCTTTTCTGGATAGAACTTTCGCGAAGGAGCTTTGGAAAGTAAGGCGATAAAGAAGTGGCCGTTTCGCGCGGGATTTAAATCTGAATTTCGCTATTTCGCTGGATAGGCGATACCGGAACACAAAGTTAAGCTGCTAAATTACACGAAAAAAAAAAAAAAAAAAAGAAGAAAAGCTGATGTGTTTGAATACCTTGTTTGGTGTTATAGGTTTCATAACATTGAAGCTTAATTTAAGACTCCTCTTTGTTTGAAACAAAGATCGCGTCATCTGTAGTCGCCACCGAATATCTAGTCTAAACGATATGTTCCAGCATTGTGTCACGCTCATCACGACCCGCCTCCCAACACACTAAGAAATGCCTGTGCGTCTACTTACCCGCAAAACACTCGAAGAGTCAATAGGGAGTATTCGTAGACCGCGTTTGCCCCTCCGCTAAGCCCTCCGCAACGAAGAAGTCGCTACTGCGCCTGCGCGCCGATGGCCTCGCCCGTAAAGTTCCGGGTATCGTAGCGGGTTGCGGAGTGCGTTGCGGGACGGCGAAAACGATCTACGAAAACTCCCTAATCTCTGCGATCTACGAGATCAGCTCAGCGAATGAAGAGGCGGAACATCTTTTTAGAGCTAAAAATGAAGTCTGCGCCGCTCTGGCTTTACGCAATGCAAAGCGTCATGCTTGCATTGCGTAAGGCCTCAGCGCAGACTTCATTTTGAGGTCTAAAAAGATGTTCCGCCTCATCATTCGCTGAGCTAGATCTCTTAGATCGCAGAGAGAGGCTCTTCGAGTCTTTTGCGGGTTAGTAGACGCGGAGGCATTTTTTTGAAGTAAATCTTGTACACGTTACTCAAAAAAAAAAAAAAAAAAAAAAAAACTGATTACAGTTAACAAATTTGGAAAAGTAATGAATTGGATTACTTGATTCCTTGAGTGGCAAAGTCGTTACTTGAAAAAGTAACCGTTACTTTTCCAATTACTTTCGATTTTCAGAATAACAGACTTTTCTGCCGGTTTGAGAACGCATCTTTCGTGCTAGCTGTTTCATTATCGGATTAGAATCACTGAATTATAAACTACTTATCTTCTTAATCCACCCATTTTGATGAGCCTTTCTCTTCTCGGAGACTTGGTTCCAGGATTCTTTGGTGGGAAACTTGTAGAAACAAAGGGCGCCATAGAAAGGAGGTCATTCTAGGGCTTCCAATTGTAATTAGATTTTAGATTACTCATGGGATTACGCGCTAATAAATGAATTCAAAGGATTACGAAATTACTTCGAAAAGTAATCGATTACCCGCCTAAGTCTGCCTGGAGCGCTGCGAAAGGGTCGTTAGTGACCTCATATCATAATCTAAACCCTGAGACAAGGAGAAAATACAATACAGGACGAGATTTTGTCGTCTTTTTCGTCATTTTATTTCTCCTTGTCTCAGTGTTTAGATTGCAATGTTTCCTAACCGGGTCGCCAGCATATTTTCGCTCCTCGTTAATGCGATTTACGAACGTTTTTTTGTGTTTTTTTGTTTTTTTTTTTTATCTCGAAGGCTTGTCTGACTGAATGTTCGTAACTCTTTTGCATCTAATTTGTAAAGAGATGACGCCACAAAACAAATGGTTTGTCAACAAAATGTTTTTTTATTGTAGGAAAGCTTTTTTGTTGTTATTTCATTAAAAAAAAGCTGCCCTTAGTAATCAATAAAGTTCTTTGTCACATGAAAGTTCTTTTTCTGTCTGTGTCTGCCCTCAGCAGTGATGTTTATATCTGTCTGTTATTCCAAGTGGCTAGTTGTGTAAATACAGAATAAATTAAGTGCGTGACGCTACCGCGCGTTTCGCAAATTATGTTCGTACTTTTGGAGTTCCTTGATTTATTTACTTGGTGATTTCACTGTCTGTCTCTGGAGAGCAAACCGATTCATAGCCGAAGTTCGGTTTTGTAAAGAAATATTGGCACGAATCAATCGCAAGATCTATAGAGAGCTCTCTTTCGGTTGATCACCTTCTGAAGCCTTCCCCAACGCCTCCTGGCTTCCCTGGCGGCGGAGTTCGCTGTGTTGATGCTTGTGACCGGATGGAATGTCTTGGGATCGTATAAGACTCTGGATTAGTGTATTATTTGTGTGCAGTGACGGACTGAGACCAGATTTTTGCGTAAGCGTGTTGTTTTGGCGTTCAGGTATGTTGTTGTCGCAACTAAAGAAGTTGGTTATTAACCCCATGCCGCCCTTATCCCCAAGTTCTCCCAAAAACAGAGCTAGCCAACAGTGTAGACTTAATTTATTTGGAACTCAAATCCACAAATATCAGGGCGCCATGCTGAAATTAACCATTCCGGAAATAGGCTGCCGGTGCCATTGTTGGAAGCGAGGCAGATGTTACGGGCTTTAGTTGAGCAAGTTGGTTCACTGCTTGTGAATGGGGCCAGCTGAACATGAAAAACTCACAGAGAACAATTATAACATTCGCACGGCTGGAATAGCAACATTTAATAACGCTTCTTTTTCCTTTTCTGCTAATCCTTGATTTCGGTTTTCTTTTTCTTTACACTAACTTATTTTTTTTAAAATTATCTACACTTGATTTAGGTTTTCTTTTTCTTTACATTTAATTCGGAATTTCTTTTCCTTTAACGCTTTGACATTTTTGCTGTCGGAATGTTCTCATCCCTTTTATTCTATCCTCTTTAAGCGATCTTCCTCTTCTTGTATATCTTTGCCTGGAACTCGTATCAGTCCGCAGGAAAATCTCCTCCGAGTTGTGTAGTGCAACGGAAGGAGCACTAACCAGTCCTCGGATTTTTCTTCGATGGCTAGAGTTTCGAGTAGTTCACGGGCGAGATGATTTTTATGTCGCCCCACGATGTTTACGTTGCACAACCTTCATTAAATGTTGCTAGTCCAGCGGTGCGAATTTTTTTTTTCTCTGTGTGTTTTTCATTTTCAGCTGGCCCCACCCACGAGGAAAGTGCTCTTGCTGGGCTGTTACGATCGCAGGATGGTTTGTGACTTTGGAAGCATTGGAACGGTGTATTCCGGGGTCTTCATTTGTTTTATAAGTATGTATTGCGCTTTTATTTTCCGACGAATGTTTTCTTTTGGATTTGTGAAACTTCACGACATCAACTCAACGTACGGCATCACGGTCTACTTGTTAGTCGATTGTTATAGGTTTTACGGCTTGCGATATTAATTACTTTTTGTTGTTGTCTCTTACCCAAGGTGGAGATGACGTCTGAGAATCACGCGGAGTTGTTTTCGCGTGACTCCCTGGTGTACCTGAGTCCCGACGCTCCAGAGAGCCTGCCGGGAACTCCGCTGGACGCTTCCAAAGTTTACGTCATCGGCGGCCTGGTCGACGAGACGGTGCGCAAGGTAACCTACCATCCCTCTACTTTCTCTCTGATGATGATGTTGACGGCCAGAAGGTCCTTCTTATGAGTGAAAATTCACTCGCTAGTTCTAGACGAAGACGATGTTCAATAAATTGAACTGGGAGTTCCTGCAGCATCAGTACGTCAATTTGGACCGGTTGGCTCACGATCATCTAGAAAGACGAAAAAAAAAAAATGCACAGGGACAAGGAACTGGGCGACACGGGGGCGCTGTATCGTCCACATTCTAGTCCTCGTGTACTTTTCGGAAGCTTTTCTTAGATGTTTCTACAGCCCTTCGCACGTAAATGGAACTCAATGTATTGCGTGCATCGCCCTTCTTCGATCGTTGTAGCTAAAGTGGAGGAATGGTGTACACGATTTTCAGATAACAGGTGGACATTTTTTTGGCTTGTTTGTTAATAATACCATTTAGTCCTTTGATACCAACTTTGTAAGAAGAAACAAAACACACAAAAACAACAATCACATTTTACGTAGAATTTAACTTGAAACACACTACTGAATTGTCGAGTTAGGCCGTGCCCACTTTTGTTGTTTTAATCTAATCCTTCTAAAAAGCTTGGTTGCACGCCATCTTGTTTCTACTCTAAATTATATTTAGGGTATCCAAATCTATTTCGTCGCAAGAAATATTGGCCCTCATTCCCGTGTCTCCAAGGAAAATGATATCTAAAGTTACGGGCTTACACGTATAATTACCGAGGTTGTCACGATTGATGATCCGTGCCGGAAGCCAGACAGTCGAGCGAAAAGGTCAAATGACGTGGTTTAGGCACCATCACCAAAAATAACAGGACGCTTTGGACAAATGCGTTGCAGTTAAGCTGACGCTATCGATTTAAAGACCTTCGCATCGCGAAAAACTGGGAACTTTAGACCCATCCCTTTCTTTGTTGCGTTTGTCGGAAGCCCGCCGAGCGAAGGCAACCAGGAGTTGCTTATTAGAGCGTGATTAATCCAACGTGTCGGCCTATTATCGTAATTGATCGCATCTGTCAAACGCATGGCGTGCGTGCAGCACGCCCGTGCCAGTTGAAACAGAAAGCCGTTTCTTTTCGACGGCTGCCTTTTAACGTATCCCGTACGTGACGCTTTTTTTTTTTTTTTGTCCCATTCGGGTATTTGTATTCGTTAATACGTTTCGATTAGGGTTATGCCGTCCGTTCGCCCGTTCGCCCTATCCATTCTGTCCCGTCGCTTTATCGTGATGAATCGGCGTTGTCCTTTTGGGACTCGGAGGGAGGATCGAAAGCGGCGAAACGCCAAGCCCCAGTGGTCCTAGTCTTCCCTATAGAGGCGGCGGTTACGGTGCCGGGGCGGATTTTATTTCGAGGTTGATTCCCGGTCGTATGCGACCAGCGAAAGAAGCCGCCAGTGACAGTTTGTCTTTCCTCCTGGAAGGTGTGCCGCGCAATCGATCTGCCATCCAGTCCACTTTTTTTTAAAACTTAATTTAGTGATTTTTTTTTTATTTACGGTTGATTGTCGCTGGTGTCGCCTATCGCCACGCAAATAATTAAATAAAAGCGCACGCGCGTGAGGGGTGACACAAGAATGTTGAACGTCGTTTCGTGTTCCTGTGGAACTCTGCGACAGGGAATATATTAACTTACATTGGGAGTAAAAAAAAAAAAAATGGAGGAAAACCTTTTTGGTGTTGAAAAGATATATTCTCATCGGTTCACGCGTTTGTCGACGATAAATGGGTTAGGTTTTTATTTTTGGCTTTGTTAACTTACTCGAAGGTTTCCGTTTTCTCCCGTACTTTTAAGTTGGAAGTTGGAGACTGCAATCTTCGGTGGGGGTGACTTTTTTTTTTTAACAGGTCTGGCGTGTTGCGCTGACTGTTCCGATAAGTTTGGAAATGTGACCTTTTTGAGGAATTTGATAGGAAATGTACAAAGAAAAGCCTTTAGTTCGGCGCCACTATCTCCATTTTGAAGGGAAGTTGGAGGTTACCGTCAAAGCAGAAACAAAACAAGCGTTTTTAGAGCGTATTTTTTTTTCATTTATTTTTTTGTTCGGGAAGAACGCTTTTCTATTATCAGGCGGAGTTTGGCCAACTTAGACTCAGACGGTGGATGTTTTCGTTTCAAAAAGGAATCTAGTCGACAAAACTGTCATTTTTTGTTTCAGTTTTATTTTAAGGCGAAGGGTGCTGCGGTCACCTAGTTGGACCGTAAATGTTGCTGTTGGCGATTTTCTCAGCGATGTGGATACCATTTCGTCGTTTACCCTGAGACTGGTTTTTTTTTTTTTTTTGAAGAGCAGAAGTAACAGAAAAAACAGATTGTTCTCTTTTATCTAGAAAGTGACAGGCAAAAAAAAAAAGTATTTTTTTTTGTGCCGTAAAAATAAACTAGGTTTTGCCGAAAGCTACGACCCCGACAGAATTTAGGGCTAATGGGTGGTTTTTTTTTTACTAAAGTTCCAAAGTTCCGGTTACCAGAGTAAAAATACAGAGAAGTGAAAAACTGATTTTGCTTAGGAGAGAAAGCCGTCGGACCACCGAACATCAAATGCTGCACCAGAACACACGAAATACCTTTGTTTTCTTTCTGTCTCCTAGCTGGCGCCACTGTCGCTACCAGGCAGACGTCAACATGGAAGCAGACGGCATAATCATCTGTACAGCTGTGAAGTTTCCGTCTATGTTTAGCGGTCTAGTTCAGGGTGAATGTCCAACGTTGCGTTCTTCCACTGTGGGTTTATTTTGTTGTCTATGTAAATACTTAAATTTTACAAATGATTACGATTGGATATAGGTTATTCTCATCTAAATTCACATTATCTCGCTGAGCCGCTGCATATCAGCTCTGTCGCTGTCGTGCCAGTAATACTGAGTTATTTCGACCAAGCTCCGTGTGTGCTATCGCTTGATTAGGCTATGTGTTCTTACCAAATACTGAGAGCTATAAAGGTCACCTTCGAAGTGCATCGCCCGGTGGTCCTGTGTCTTTTCATATATACTCACAGTTTGCTTTTAGTTTCGTCAGTGCATCGGTCGTGGTTCGCTCGTTAGTCTTGCGTAGTTAATGAACGGATCTTCTGTAGCGACAAAGGTGCACGATCTTAACAAGTCGCCTCATTAGCGACCTATATTTGAAGAACTTTATGTCGAAATCGAAGAATTTTGAGAACGTGCTATAGTATATTGCAGGTTAAGAAGGTAGGGCGAGGGAAAGGAAGGTGGGAGAGAAGGAAGCGGACGCAATGCTGGCGAGGAGGGGGCTTTCCTTCTCCCCTCGCAAGCGTTGCGTCCATTTCCTTCTCTCCCACCTTCATTTTCCTCTCCCTACCTTTTTGGGTTTCACCGACTATGGAGCCTTGAGAAAGGCAGGTTGCGGAATCTATCGACCATCTCATTATCGCTCCGCAGCCAATGAGGTTGCGACATCAGCCGATAAGAACGAGGAAGAACCAATCACAAAGCGAGAAGTGTGATGCTAGTATGCGATGCTATGGGAAGATCCGGTGCGCATCCACAATTGGCCCTCTCCTTCCCCCCCCCCCCCCCTTTTTATTTTCTTCATACATAACAACGCTTAGTAGTACACTGTTAGCAAGTCCCGTGTATTTGGCGAATATTTGGGGTGAAAAACACGCTATTTACACAAATTACCATAAATTTACACGATGAGTAACGGATAATTCGTTCAGAAATCATGCGAGGTTGTAAAAAACGTGTTTTGGTTCGGTAATACACGCATAACCGTGTAGCCGACCTCGATAACACGCATCGCCCCTGGCGACGACCGCGGCATTGCCGGCTATCGAAGCACCGGAATGCTTGGGGAAACACTTAGAAAGGACCGTCGAGACAAATGCCGCGGAAAGAAACATGTCTCGGAGAAAGATATGCACCAAAAGCAATTGCGCCATGTCGCAGGACGTTGGCGAAACCCGCGCTCATCGTGCTCGCCGCCATCTTCTGGTAGATGGCTATGCGGCTTCCCTCATGTCGCCCATGTTTGTATTTAGTTTAGGGGTCCTGATAACAGTTTTTTAGACACCACAAATAAAGTCATGGGTCTAGTTATTCGTTCCAAACAGGTAAAATGGATATAAAAAGCGTGTCCTCGATGTGAACACGTGACACTGCAGTTGGTTTCGTTTTTGCTTCAACTTTCAACTGCAAGCGATCTGGCCACGGCGCAAGCGCAACGCCGATGTGCGCTGGAAGCAAGCGCCGGTCGGCCAGGTTGGCTTTCGTTGTTTTTTGTTTGACCGGAGAAAATCTGGCAAGTACGCATGGCGCCGCTACTGTTTTGGTTTGACGGGACGCGAGAAGCTTCGCATAGAGCTTCGGAGTTTGCGAGCACATAGTGAAGACGTGACCGGAGAAGTGCCCCTGTGACGTTCCTGGAAGACGGGAAGTAGCATTCGTAATCGTCGTGTGTGCTTTGAAAGCGAAGGGAGTCACAGGGTCCACGAGTTCGCAACCACACGCCAAGGGACACGACAGCGCGGCGTTGACTTCGGCGATCTCGTTCTGTTTGGTGCAACCCGGCGATGCGAAAAAGAGCTGAAACATTCGTCGTGTGTGGTGCGGTGCTTTGTATTCCGGGTCTGTTTGAACCACGCTTTTAACACGGAGCGCAAATTGTTTGTTCCGTGGTGGAGGTTCAACGGGTACAGTCCCGTCGTCGTCAGCTGATCCGGTCCAGCTGGTCCGGGAGGACGCAGCGAGCGTTTGTAAAAGTAAATCTTCCTTCTTTCCGTTTCAAACTGTGGAAGTATCCCGACGCATACCGTGAGTAAGAAGCAGCGGGCGTTTTCAACAAAATTATGTTGTTTTAATTGAATAATGGACTCTGGATTGTTGTCTTAAATCTGCCGTTTTTTATGCTTCGTGTTGGACTGCGTTTGCATAGCGACGCACACCGCTCGAGTAGATGATTCGGTCCTGCAACGAGTTTGTTGCGCCAATTATGCGGCATGAATAAATTAGGGCAAGGTTTCCTACCTGCCCACAGA